GCGGGGGGGAAATCTTCAAAAGCGAGATACACAAAGATGATGATTTTGCTGTTCTGTTCTTCAGCATAGTTTTCTTTTTGTAGTATAGATGGAAAAGCTGATGCTTTTCCTACGTGTTGCCTTAGTCTGGGGCAGTAGGCCACTGGGCACGATAGCCATGGCATGTGTCTGCACAGATGTCACTTGCTCTGCAGAGGTAGGTTAGACGTGTGCCACGCCAGGAGTAGTTGCATTGTATCTTCAGGGATTTGCTTGGACTGTCACCTTCCAGCAGAAAGGATTAGTGGGCTGCCTTGTGGATTAAGTGTTTGCTTTGATTTGGACTGAGTAGTGCTGCTAAAAAGGGAGAAAAATATTTCCTTCCAAATCTGCAAGCTTTCTTGTCTCTGTACAAACACTTGCTTCCAGGAAATGCCTTTGTTCTCTGTTTGACCTTCACAAATTATCCCTCCCAGAGCAGATTTGATTGTCTTTCTTTGAAGCTTGATTATATATTGCAGAGAGCTGGTGACTCCTTATTTTATGTTTTTAAAAAAAAAACAAAACCACACCGCTTTTATTGATAGACAATTGCTGTGCTGTTTGCGCTGCAAGTCTCAGATCGCTGCATGACTTTGTTGTTTCTTAAAAATCTTCTATTCCAGAAGAGCTTAAAGCAACGCCTCGGTAAAAGTAACATTCAGGCAAGACTAGGCCGGCCGGCCGGACCCCTTGCTCGCGGAGCCATGGGAGGAAGAGGACTGTCTATGGGGCAGAGAGGTTTGCCACGAGGAGCCATGCGTGGTGGCCGGGGAGCAAGAGCTCTGCTGAGAGGAGGAGTCCCACTCCGAGGTCGGTACCGTGGCTGAGCTGGAGTTGCTTATGTGTCAGCAACACTGTCTTTTTGACAGTGTGACTCTTGACTCGGTTGCTCTGTCTGAAAACTTTCTGATTTGAATTCCCTTTCTCTATTGAAGGTCAGAGCCTGCTTCGTGGAGGACGAGGTATATCCCCCAGGATGGGCCTGAGGAGAGGTGGCATTAGAGGTCGTGGTGGCCCTGGAAGAGGTGGTCTAGGCAGAGGTGCCATGGGCCGCGGAGGACTTGGTGGCAGAGGTCAGTGTGCACAGACTTCAGGAGCGGTGCATTGCTGCTGAAAAAGTAGAAGTAAGCTTTAATTCCTTTTCCCTTTAAAGGCTAGCATGCGTAAGTACATGCAGCCCCAAAACCCCACTATTGAATTTGTGTACAGCATAGTGCTAAATTAAGACTTTTGTTCCTGAAATATTTTGCCCGGCTTTACGCCTTACCAAGATTCTTCACTGTGTCAGTGTTGCCGGAGGGGTTCAGGGGACTGTTAGCGACGTTGTCTGCTCTTGCAGGTGTCGCTGGCTGTTGGGGGATGCTTAGAATAGTCGAGGCAGTGAGTGATCTTGCAGCGTATTGAGGAAGAGTACATTGTGTCCTTGCGCAAGAAGGAAATGATAAAGAGTCTGTGTAAACCAAGAGACTCTTAAAATAATTAGTGAGGGGAAAAATTTTAACAGAGGAGAAAGCCTAAATCCCTGCAAAATAAACTTAAATTCAAAGTCTGAAACTGAATCAAGTCTTGAGTAAATGAACTCTCTTTATTTTCAACAACAAATCAGAGAAGCAGTAAAGCAGGAGTGCGAGAGGAAATACAGGAGACGGCTGTTGATGGTAGGGTTGTTAATGTTTCAGACAGATGTTTGGTTAGAACACCAGCCAGACACGCTCTCGTGTTACTTTGGGATTGGCCCAATGTTTGTAGGAGTGAGAGCAGACAGTTACCGGGAAGCTGCCTTATCTCTTGACAGCTTTGGCTTGCAGCTTTAGCTCTTGTTTCTTAGCCTGACAAACCACGTACTGATCGATGGGGTCTCTTGGGTATCCTACTTCTGCAGTCGTTTGATAAACCTCTCAGTTTGAAGGACTTCGTAGGAAAAAAAAAATTTGCTTCTGATGGGTGATGGCGTTGTCACTTTGGGGTGCAGGATCTCTGGTTACGCTCCGTGGGGAGAGAAGGGAGCGTGGTGGAGTGTGTAACCGTCATCTTGTCTCACTGTAAGGTCGCGGCATGGCGGGTCGAGGACGAGGGGGCTTTGGAGGTCGTGGCAGAGGCAGAGGACGAGGAAGAGGATCGGCACGTCCTGCCTTGACCAAGGAGCAGCTGGACAACCAGTTAGATGCTTACATGTCTAAAACGAAAGGACACCTCGATGCGGAGCTGGATGCTTACATGGCTCAGACGGACCCGGAAACAAACGACTGAAGGTCGTTCCAAGAGACTGTTGTTGAAGTTAGTGTGTTATGTCGATGCCCATAAGCTAAAAATGGAAACCCTGATTCATGCTGGAAGGACCCGCAGGAATAGGGAGCGGCCCCGTTTACCAAGAGATCAGACTTTAGTGTGTTCCTTTAACCTTTTGATACTCTCTGTTGTATGAAACCTTTTTTTTTGGATTGTTTTTTATATCTCATTTTTATTTTTTTCTCTCCCTGAGTACTCCAAACACGAATGTGACAGATCTGCGGCAGTTAATCCGCTGACATCAGCGCTGGTGACGCACCGTGGCTGTGCAGCGTGGCGTGCGCGCCTCCCGCCCTGCGTTAAGTGAAGCGCTCGTCGTTGCTGGGATCGCGTGTTCGTGTGCCTCTTGAGCTCTGCGGTTGCATTTTGGGATCAGCTGTGTCCCTAAGCGTGACCGAAAGGCCGAACTCATGCCTGCAGTCCAGTTAAACCCAACTGAAGCAAAAAAAAAAAGCCCCAACAGGCCGGGTTTAGTTTAGACACAGCAATCTTCTTGTTTCGCACCAAAACTTCCTCTTGTGTTGGCAGCCGGCGTTCTGTTAATGCCTAGTGCAGGGGTGAAAACTTCCTTAGTTGTGGGGTTTTTTTTGTTTTAGATAAAAGTTTGAGTTTCTTTTGCATTGTTTGAACAGATGGCACCACCAGTGGTTTCTGTATCTGCAAGAAAACAAGTGTTTATTTAAAGGAATTGGAAGCAGGAACATAAAATTACAGCTGTGATGGCAAAGTGTGGTAAAACTGTCGCTTTTAAAACACGGGGTACAAAATTCATCTTGTTACCTTTTGGTGTAACCAAA